CAGGCGCAATTTGATTCCAAAAAAGCTGAAACTTGCCGTGCTAAAATCTTATGAGGTTGCCTTTCGAATGGTGTATGTCTTGTCAATTCACTCCGTCATCACTAATTCACCTTTTTTAAAACCGGTGCCTAGTATAATATCAGAGTGTTTCGCCTCGGGCAGACGCAATTTGATTCCAAAAAAGCTGAAACTTGCCGTGCTAAAATCTTGTGAGGTTACCTTTCGAATGGTATATGTCTTGTCAATTCACTCCGTCATCACTAATTCACCTTTTTTTAAAACCGGTGCCTAGTATAATATCAGAGTGTTTCGCCCAGTGTGGGCGTAATTTGATTGCAAAAAAGCTGAAACTTGCCGTGCTAAAATCTTATGAGGTTATCTTTCGAATGGTGTATGTCTTGTCAATTCACTCCGTCATCACTAATTCACCTTTTTTAAAACCGGTGCCTAGTATAATATCAGAGTGTTTCGCTCAGTATGGGCGCAATTTGATTCCAAAAAAGCTGAAACTTGCCGTGCTAAAATCTTATGAGGTTACCTTTCGAATGGTATATGTCTTGTCAATTCACTCCGTCATCACTAATTCACCTTTTTTCAAAACCGGTGCCTAGTACAATATCAGAGTGTTTCGCCCAGTGTGGGCGCAATTTGATTCCAAAAAAGCTGAAACTTGCCGTGCTAAAATCTTATGAGGTTGCCTTTCGAATGGTGTATGTCTTGTCAATTCACTCCGTCATCACTAATTCACCTTTTTTCAAAACCGGTGCCTAGTACAATATCAGAGTGTTTCGCCCAGTGTGGGCGCAATTTGATTCCAAAAAAGCTGAAACTTGCCGTGCTAAAATCTTATGAGGTTACCTTTCGAATGGTATATGTCTTGTCAATTCACTCCGTCATCACTAATTCACCTTTTTTCAAAACCGGTGCCTAGTACAATATCAGAGTGTTTCGCCCAGTGTGGGCGCAATTTGATTCCAAACAAGCTGAATCTTGCCGTGCTAAAATCTTATGAGGTTACCTTTCGAATGGTATATGTCTTGTCAATTCACTCCGTCATCACTAATTCACCTTTTTTCAAAACCGGTGCCTAGTACAATATCAGAGTGTTTCGCCCAGTGTGGGCGCAATTTGATTCCAAAAAAGCTGAAACTTGCCGTGCTAAAATCTTATGAGGTTACCTTTCGAATGATATATGTCTTGTCAATTCACTCCGTCATCACTAATTCACCTTTTTTTAAAACCGGTGCCTAGTATAATATCAGAGTGTTTCGCCCAGTGTGGGCGTAATTTGATTGCAAAAAAGCTGAAACTTGCCGTGCTAAAATCTTATGAGGTTATCTTTCGAATGGTGTATGTCTTGTCAATTCACTCCGTCATCACTAATTCACCTTTTTTTAAAACCGGTGCCTAGTATAATATCAGAGTGTTTCGCTCAGTATGGGCGCAATTTGATTCCAAAAAAGCTGAAACTTGCCGTGCTAAAATCTTATGAGGTTGCCTTTCGAATGGTGTATGTCTTGTCAATTCACTCCGTCATCACTAATTCACCTTTTTTTAAAACCGGTGCCTAGTATAATATCAGAGTGTTTCGCTCAGTATGGGCGCAATTTGATTCCAAAAAAGCTGAAGCTTGCCGTGCTAAAATCTTATGAGGTTGCCTTTCGAATGGTGTATGTCTTGTCAATTCACTCCGTCATCACTAATTCACCTTTTTTTAAAACCGGTGCCTAGTATAATATCAGAGTGTTTCGCCTCGGTGCAGACGCAATTTGATTCCAAAAAAGATGAAACTTGCCGTGCTAAAATCTTGTGAGGTTACCTTTCGAATGGTATATGTCTTGTCAATTCACTCCGTCATCACTAATTCACCTTTTTTAAAACCGGTGCCTAGTATAATATCAGAGTGTTTCGCTCAGTATGGGCGCAATTTGATTCCAAAAAAGCTGAAACTTGCCGTGCTAAAATCTTATGAGGTTATCTTTCGAATGGTATATGTCTTGTCAATTCACTCCGTCATCACTAATTGACCTTTTTTTAAAACCGGTGCCTAGTATAATATCAGAGTGTTTCGCCCAGTGTGGGCGCAATTTGATTCCAAAAAAGCTGAAACTTGCCGCGCTAAAATCTTATGAGGTTATCTTTCGAATGGTATATGTCTTGTCAATTCACTCCGTCATCACTAATTCACCTTTTTTTAAAACCGGTGCCTAGTATAATATCAGAGTGTTTCGCTCAGTATGGGCGCAATTTGATTCCAAAAAAGCTGAAACTTGCCGTGCTAAAATCTTATGAGGTTGCCTTTCGAATGGTGTATGTCTTGTCAATTCACTCCGTCATCACTAATTCACCTTTTTTCAAAACCGGTGCCTAGTACAATATCAGAGTGTTTCGCCCAGTGTGGGCGCAATTTGATTCCAAACAAGCTGAATCTTGCCGTGCTAAAATCTTATGAGGTTACCTTTCGAATGGTATATGTCTTGTCAATTCACTCCGTCATCACTAATTCACCTTTTTTTAAAACCGGTGCCTAGTATAATATCAGAGTGTTTCGCCTCGGGCAGACGCAATTTGATTCCAAAAAAGCTGAAACTTGCCGTGCTAAAATCTTATGAGGTTGCCTTTCGAATGGTGTATGTCTTGTCAATTCACTCCGTCATCACTAATTCACCTTTTTTAAAACCGGTGCCTAGTATAATATCAGAGTGTTTCGCCTCGGGCAGACGCAATTTGATTCCAAAAAAGCTGAAACTTGCCGTGCTAAAATCTTGTGAGGTTACCTTTCGAATGGTATATGTCTTGTCAATTCACTCCGTCATCACTAATTCACCTTTTTTTAAAACCGGTGCCTAGTATAATATCAGAGTGTTTCGCCTCAGTGCGGGCGCAATTTGATTCCAAAAAAGCTGAAACTTGCCGTGCTAAAATCTTATGAGGTTGCCTTTCGAATGGTGTATGTCTTGTCAATTCACTCCGTCATCACTAATTCACCTTTTTTTAAAACCGGTGCCTAGTATAATATCAGAGTGTTTCGCCTCGGGCAGACGCAATTTGATTCCAAAAAAGCTGAAACTTGCCGTGCTAAAATCTTGTGAGGTTACCTTTCGAATGGTATATGTCTTGTCAATTCACTCCGTCATCACTAATTCACCTTTTTTTAAAACCGGTGCCTAGTATAATATCAGAGTGTTTCGCTCAGTATGGGCGCAATTTGATTCCAAAAAAGCTGAAACTTGCCGTGCTAAAATCTTATGAGGTTATCTTTCGAATGGAATATGTCTTGTC